TGTTTCTCAGTATGTTAAACTCAATTAAAAAAAAAAAATAAAAAAACCCAACATCGGGATAACTTAAAGCAGATGTGAACACAAGCCTGAGACCCTTCTGAGCACAAACACAGCCATTTCATTGCAATTCCAAACGGCTCTTCTGGCAAGCCTCCCCCCCATGTCCTACATTCTTTCATTCCAAGGAAGACAAACAATTCAGACTGGAGCAGCAAGGCACGTTTTTCAAATAAACAGGTTCCCTCAAACAGTTTTTGCCTTTGTGTCACCCCAATACCACATTCCTTGCTTAAATGACCTTCTGGGATGATCTAAATGACAATTTGTGTCACACCTTCTATTTAAATGGTTCGAAGCACCGCACCCAGCCCACGTGAGCCTCTCACATGGAGGTGTTGTCCCCTTCATATGCCAACACAGTATCTTCATGACCTGAAGTTGCAGAATCTGTGGCATTTTTGGATGCTAAAACTAGAAATCCTGTGGAACCTCTGGAAGAGGAACATCCCTGGAATGCGAAGGGCACTACTTGCTGGTGACTGGGGATCCTTTGAAAAGAAGGTTGCCTGGTCATTTCTGCTCAAAACCACCAAGTCTGTGGCTTTAAACAAATAAACCATATTTTACCTTACAGGTCTTTCAATGGCTCAGTCAGAGGGAGATTTTTGGACAGAAGCAGTCTAGAGCACGTTACCTGATTCCCTTGTTACCTTAATTCCATCTCTCATTTCTCCCTGTGTCCCTCAGACCAGCAGCTGCCTTGTCCAGAGTCACTCATCCCCTCCTTCTGGTTTCTAGGTTTCATGCTTACTTCACCAGCTGCTTTTGAGTCTGGCCACGACCTCTGTGACTAATTCCTGGACTCTGCTCCAGCTCTGCTCATGAGTTCTCTTCAGCTCCACGTTGCTCCACCGGTCTTTTGGTAAGTAAAAGCAAGGCCAAGTCTGGGAGAATTTTAGTATTCCAAAGTTTTGGTTCATTATATGTTTTCCATATTCTCCTCTGTGAGAAAGAGCAGAGGCTGTCTCTGGAGAACCTCAGGAGAGGCAGTTCCAAAATGTGCACCTGGGATCCTGTTTCTCCTGGACCTTCCCCATACAAAGAAACAAAACTGAGGCAGACTCATCTATAGCCTTCTACCCACAGAAAGCAGACAGCCAGTACTGCCAATTTCCATTTCAAATCAAGATGGTTTGGAGATATCCTGGGCTGCTGTGTGTGGTCAGTTTGAAGAATTTTTTAAACCCTTGAGTCAAATGGCTTGTATACTAATTAAAACTGATTGTAAATATTACATAATAGATGTAATAACATAATAGCAGGTAGAAAATAATGAATAAAAGATAATAAAATTGATTATTTCTCACAGAATAAATAGAGAGGGATTTAAAAAAAAAGGAATGCCTTTTGCAATGTGAGGATAGCCCAATGGCTTGAGAACCAACAACACTTTCTCTCCAGCTACAACAGCTTCATCCCAAGTCTCAAAGCTGGATTCCTTAATAAGACACAGACACTGATGTGATGATCAGTGCAATGGCAGCAAAGTGACTCCAGTGGTAGAGGTGAAGCAAGAGAAGTGAGATGGCCTTCACAGCCCAGCCCTAACAGGAGGTACAGCTGAGAACAGAAATATCTACTCCAGCCTCCTAATAGGATTTTCATATTCCTCATGAGCTTAACATGGGAAAATATGTACAAAAATAAATCGATCATTACAAATCAGGATGATGAAAAATCTTTAAATCTCCCAAATCCTTCTAAATCCCTTTACTGGCTTCTGTATTTCTCACAGTAAGTTCCTTCAGTTAATTCTGCCACTGAGTTAAGGTACCCAGAGGAGAAATAAAAAAGCTGCGCTTGAAAAAAGTTTTTCTTTGACTGCTGGACTTTGCAGGACCTGACAAACCAAGGGACAAGCACTCCATATCAAGGACAGCTGCATAAACTTCCTGAGCACAAGAAATTAATCATAATAAAAGGCTTTTAAATTTTTTTTAATACAGTTAGGTACCAAAGATAAAAGGGTTATTTCCCAGAATCGTTCCTGTTTGGCACGGATCCTGATTGCTTAGATGAAGAAATTTTATTATTGAGCTTTTCATAACCTCTAACCTCAAAATCTGGGGAATGCCTTACATGGAAAATACAGAACACAGTAAAATTGCAAGCGTTTCTGGCTTTTGTGTTCCCTCACACCAATATTCCTTCCTGCTCTTCAGCAGCTCACCCCAGGGCCATGCAGGCAGCAGAGTCTGAAGGCTGCTCCCAAGCCAACTCTTGGCTAATAGAAATAACTCTGAAAGTTGGGTGGGACTGAACCAAGCAAAGTAAAACACTCTTTAAGCCTACCCAGATTTGCCTCTACTTGTATAAGATTGTGAATTGAGTGCTTAAGGATTTCAGGCTTCTCCTGTATTGATTGATGTTTCAGATATTCCTGCTTCCAGTGCTCCAAAGCTGCCTTGCTGCCAATATTGATTAAGTGTTCTCTGTGTGGTTCTGCAACACAAACCCCTTCTGCTGCATGGATGGATGAGAGCTCAGTGCCTCTTGTCTGGAGCCAGCTCCACCCTGGGACCTGGGAAGGGCAGCCTGACCCCGGGTAGGGCAGTGTCCACTCACCCACCAGGCTCCCACTGAGGCTGGTGCAGGAGGCAGGAGAAGGAGGAGAAATTCTCTCCTGCTGCCAAAATGCAGCATGAGCACAAACACTGCAGTCACTTTACACCTTTGTTCACCCTGGAATTTCAAGCAGCAGGGAAATGGAACTGAGATTGAGGCAGGAGGGGTCCTGCCCTGTGCTGGCTGGGGCAGCACAGCTGGAATGTCATCAGCTGACGTGGGAGGGCTCGTGGCAGCAGCTGCTCCTGAGGCAGGAAGGTCAGGAAGCTCCTCCGTCCCCATCTGCCAGAGCTGTGTCCAGTCCCAAGCTGTCACTGCATTAGAATTATTTCATGACATACCAGCACTGCCTCTGCCTCCACACTCATCCCATTGCCTATACAGGCAGAAAATAAATTTTAGGGACACACTTGTTCTGTGATGGCCTTTAGCATCAAAAACAAAGATAAAGCTATTAAGTGCAAGAGGGGAAGCTGATATTTGGGGATGGAGGAAGACTTGAAACTCAGTTCTACAGGGCATTCCCTCAGAGGAACAGCCCCTTTGAAATTATCATGCAAATCTGGAGGCTTTTCAGCAATTTCAGCTAAATCCTTCAGGCTTGTGTGCACAGAGAAGTTAATTTGGTTTCAAGCAGTATGGATTAAAAGCAGAACAGTTATTCCTGATTAATTCCCTCTGTGATCACTTCTATTTTGGAACAAAAATGCCTGACTCTGAACCAACCCAACTCATCCCCAGCCTGGTTTAGGTACATTAGGAGTCAGGCAGTCTTTTCCAGACAATTGGTTGGGAACAGTCAGGAACTGCTTCACAGACAGAAAAACCTTTACTAGGTCAGGAAAAACAACTTAAAATATGGAATATTTCCTAGATGAGACTCGGATATCATTTACATCATTAACAAGTTCAGGATAATTATTTTCTCTTCCGTGAGCCAACTTCTGATCTAACCCACACTAAGAACTTCACCCAGTGGTCAAAACTTTAGAGGAAGTTTTTCCAAGAATTGGAGGAAAATAATGTTATCAGACCTCCAGCAATGCTTCCAGGGGAGTCTGTCAAGGGTGACAGAACTGACCCTTTATTTCCATGCAACTAGTTGAAAAATTGTCAGTTGGAAAGAAAGTTTTATCGGAGGGAAAGCATTGAAGGTCTTGAGCTGCTTGTAATTTACTTTTTTAGCTAGAATTTTGTTTAATCTGTTACAACAAGCAGCGAAATGAAAACAGTGAGAAATCCAAACATTTCCCCAGTCAGGAAACTAAAAGTGCAGAGGGACCTTGACCACTGAAGAGTGGCTGGAAGGAACATTAGAGCACAGCAGAGAAGAACTAAAACTAGAGGTAAGGAATTAACAAATGACCTGTGGGGTCAGGGGATGCTCTGGGGCCTTCCACTGACAATATCTAGATACAGAACCCTGAGCTGCAGTGAAAGCATTGCCCCCACTCCTGCCTTCTGCTCAGGAGCGATGCCTGCACTGGCTATGTTCAAATTTGTGTTTCTATAAATCATCAATTCTGCCCTGCAGAATTCAGACACCTCCAAAAGGGAGCATGGCAGCTCTGTGGGTGCTTCTGGCAACACTGCAGGGCAGGCTGAGAGACAAAGTCAAGGACAATTATCTGAGATGGAATATCTGGTCCTGTTGCAACTCATTCAGACAAACTCCAGCAAAACATCTCCCTCCTCCTACCCTGCAGGCAGAACTTTCACCTACCAAATTCACATCCCACTCTCACCACAGACTCTTTCCCAAAACCATGTCTTGCCCAAGCTGATCTCAGAGAGGCTAGTCCTGAAAACTACCTTTATAAATCTCAGTGTAGTGGATGAAGAAATGAGGAATTAATTACTTGACTAAATTAAGCGAGCAATAATAAGGGAATCTTAAAAAGCTGGAAGTGTTAGTCCAAAGCACCTTTCAAGTTTCTGCTGTCACTCTCAGCCTGGCTTGCTGCTGTGTCCTACAAGACTCAGGGATTGTTAATAATCTACATCAATTTACAGTCTCTCAGGTCAGGAAAATTAGAATAAGAGGTGGATCAAGTAATATGAAAAATAAAATTAGGATATTTGGGCAGTAGAATAATATCCTATTTTTCTATCCTATTCTCTGACCATATTAACATTATTCCCATTGGTCACTGTTATTTACTGCTTGTGAAGCTCAGCAGAGAACACAGAACAGGGCAGGAGGGGGCTGGTCACCAGGCCAGCAAGTGGACAGAGCTGCCAAGCTATAAATATGCTGATGTATTTTTACACTTGTTGTTGCAAAGTCAGGATGGTCGTTGTGATGCTGGAACATTGCTGGGGCTGTTTTCTAATTATAATTAGATTCTGTTACTTTTCCAGTGTCATTATCAGAGACACAGTCATGTGTGCTTGCTTTTAAATGCTGTTGGCCCTGCTAATTATTCTGGGCACAAGGGAACTCTCCAGGCAGAAGGGAAATAATTCCAGTCCCAGGAGCGCCTCCTTCAGATGGTGAGTACCACCCTGACACCATCAGCCCACAGCAGGGACACACTGCAGGATGCTGTGCTGATTTTTGGATGCCAATTTCAGTGAGCACCTCCCCAACAGCACACCTCAGGGGGTGCTGGCAGCCTCTCTGCAGGTGCTCTTTCCTTGCCCTCACCTGCTGGTGCCCTCATGTCTGCAGGCTCTTTTGCACCTGTGAATTCAAAGGCAGGATTTGAAAGCTAATGTACTGAAACATTTCCAGAATCCAAAAATAATTGACACCTGTCAGTATAAAATGACTTGCTGAAGCAGCCACGCTTACACATCTGTGCCTTACCCGAGCATCTGATGCTGAAAGGATTTTTCATTTTTTCTTGGAGCACCACTGGTCTGCATCTCACAAGTTCTGCCACGGGGACCTTCCCAAAGAAACTGTGAGGAGCTGTGCCCAGGAAAAACAGAACCCTGGACTTTGTGGGTGTAGCTGATGTGCAGAAAGATTCCAGCTGAAAGCATTAGAGGACTTACTGGAGCAGCTCCTCATCTACAAATCCACTGGAAAGTGGAATTAAATGATGGGACTTAACAGCTTGGGAGAACCACACTGTCTCTGCTTAATCTTCCTATTAGGATAACACAGCCAGGACAAGGGCAGGAAACAGCCTACCACACTGATACAACACTTCAGGAGTATTTTTTTTCTGGAATTCTATGCTACCAATGATATTCCTGATGTTAAGCAAATAGTTGGAAGAAATTTGAGATGGTTCTGTGCAAATGTTTGAATGCTCCCAGAAGCTTTGGCCATTCAGCCCCAGGCACTGCTCTGCCTGTTCAGGTTTATTGATGCTCAGTGTGCACTTCAGCTCCCTGATACCGAGCATGGAGATTCCAGATTCTGCATCTTACACCATTCCAGGGTGTGTCCCATGCTGTGGAGTGGCCTTTGACATAAAAATCCTGGTCCATCAGACCCTGCAAACTTCCCTGTATTCCTTGGCATGTATTTTTAGGCCATATGCACTCCCTTAGGTTTGTGTCTGAATGAACTGCTGGAGCTTCTGAGGGGAAAAGCTTTCAAGATCATCAATGGTACTGCTTTTATCAGCTGTAGATGCTTCTTGACACGTTCTTTCTGTGTCAGAGGAAAAACTGATTGACCTGACTCTTGCACTCAAAATTCCACAGTAACTATTTATGGTTTTCCCTAATTACACTGCCCTTATGCCCAGAAAACAAGATGTTAGTGCCCAGTGTATGTCTTCCTTTGCTCAGCATCAAGCCCTAAGTTCTACTTTCCTTTTTATCAATAGCTCTTCCCCTTCCTGATAATGATTATTTTCAAACATTTGTAGATTGTTTTAAGTCACCCTTTAATCACCTTGTGCAGCCAGGGCACATATACTTAGCTCCATTAATCTTACTTTATTTAGCTGCCATACTGCAGGGCAAGATGCTCCCATTAAATAACCCTTCACCTTCCTGGCTCTGCAGGAATATTAATTACTCTCACTCCCAGGGGGACTGTCACCTCTGCAGCCCAGGGTGCTCCAGAGGCATGTGCAGGGGAGGATGATGGAGGAGAGCATTTCACCCCACTTTACAGCTTGAAAATGTAGGGAGACCATACAAAAGAATCCTTTTTTGCTTTTAGAAATACTATATACATCCTTTAAAGCAGGAAAGTTAATTAGCCTGGCTGCTCTGAAAGTTTTCTCCTGGGAAAAAAAAAAAACTTCCACTCCTTCAGTGATCAGAACTTTTTAATCCTGGTGCCAGACACATTTCTCTGAATTAATATTGGTGGAATGAAAATGCTTTCTTCTCTGCTTCAGCCTTCTCTCCCAGGATAAATCTTTTTGGAATTTGCTTTACATATTGTGCTTTTGAATGTTCTTTTAAATGTTAAAAAATGACTGTGTGAGAATGTCGCCTTCTCATTAACAAAATTTACTACATATTTTCCTCCATTGTTACCAGTACAGCTCCAGCAGTGTTAACAATGGGAACCCTAGAGCAAATGGTCTGGCACCAGCACTTGTCATCCAACTATGGCTGGTCAAAAATGTGTTTGAAAAGTGGCCTTGTGTTTTTTTCTAAGCGTGCTTGTTTTCAGTAAGCACTTCCAAATGATTTTTAAAAATAAATAAATAAATAAATTTCAATGTTTAGTCATAATTTAATCAGATAGATATTGAAGGGTTTCTGGCTTTTTTGAGGAAACCCATGGTTGTGAATAAAGGAAATTATTGTGTCCCACTACCTGCCTTTTTCTTGGCTGGGGGGAGGAAGTTAGTGAAAAGAAAACAACAGGATGATGAATAAACAGAAGCAGGTTTTTTAAAATTCAAAATCACTAACAAAATGGGAAAAAATCATAAACCTTCTGATGCTTTAAAAATTCATTCTAGTGTATATTCCTTCTCTTTTTATCACAGAGGAGTGTCAGTGTAATATGGCCCATCATGACAACAGTGAGTGACCAAGTTTTCAAGTTTGCAAGAAGCTTTCAACACTAAGGTAAGGAGACCTCAGCTAAATTCAGCAAAGGCACAAAATATTTTAAGGTATTTCTAGCACTGGTGGAAGAAGTGTAGCAGCAAAGCTCTCTGGTGAAAGCTCTGCAGGCAGCCAGAATGGTCCCCTCTGATATTAAAACTTAGCAATCTACAAAAGCTGTTTCCATTCATTGGAAACTACTGATACTTTTTTTTCCTTTTGCAAATACTTAATTTCCTTTGTTACCAGAAATCTCTGCTGTAACTAAAACACAGCAAAGCACATGCTCTGAAATCCCTCAGCTGTGCTTTCCTATAGCCATGGAAACAGAATTTTGCATGTCCATGGCAGGGCAAGGTGGATTTGTCAGGGTTTTTCCTTTTCCTTGCCACCTTTCACAAAGTCTATTTGCTTGTTGTGGATATGCAAATCAAGATCCTGGACTGAGATATTTTGTATTTCAACCCAGACCAAGGTCACACCTGGGCATGACTGACACCTGCCTGGCCTTCCTCAGTGAATTGGTTTTTATACTCTTCTCATAATGAATTTAAGTCACCAGCTGTTAATACTTCTGCAAACCTACTGCTTCCTCCTGGTGTTAGGTGAGGATTCAGAGGACCCAGTTAATACTCACAGCTCGATCCAATTTAAGAGCAGGATTTTGAGCTCAGTTAGGTTCCTTACTGGCTGCTTCTGAACCCGAGCTGGGACTAAACTGTGTGAGAACCTTCCATTGGGTCAGACAGAAATAAACCAAGATATGTCACTACACCTGAACAAAAGCTCTGCTCCACTGCTAATTTAGTGCTCTGCCTTCCCAGTGGTCCTGTGGAGATGCCTGCAGTTGTATAAGAACATACTCATTCACAATACAGCCCCTTTTTCTTTTTTCCTTTTTTTTTTTTTTTTTTTTTTTTTTTTTATGCACTCGCAAAGTGATGTTATTAATAGTTTGTGATCTACAGTGCTTTTCATCTGAGGATCTCTCACAAAGCATTTTAGGAGACTGAATCAATTTTCAAAACACTCCTATGTAATACTATCCCAATTTTACTGGAAGCAGTACTAAGGCAGTGGGAGGCAATTTTCCCAAGGGTTCATTGGTAGTGTCAGAAATAGAGCCCTGGAGTTGGACTCCAAATATAGCTGACATTCTCATCCCATGGCTGAAAACTGGATGCAGGAGTCCCCACTTTACCACTGAACATTCCTTCTGCCTTATGCTTCCCAAAGGCTGCCTGTTGCCATGGCAACTGCAGTTCGGATCTCTGGACCAGATTTGCCTCTGTTACATCAATGCAAATCATGAGCAAATTCATTGAAAGTGATGGAGCTACCCCAGATTTCCATGGTCAAGGGAGGATACAGAGCAGATTTAGTCCCTCTGAATTTGATATAAGAAGGTGGTGATCTCTTGAGAGGGGGAAAAAGATTCTTTGATCATTGCAGGGCGAGAAAGGATGAAGAATAGCTTACAGCAAAGGTATAAAAAGAAAATCTGAGAACTTTACTTTGGGGTGACCTGACATTCTCAGATCTACTTCTGACCATTACCAAAGGAAGGCTTTATTGTTCCCAAAGGAATGTTCTGCTTCCCCCTTGCACTGTGCAAAGGCCATATTCATGCTTTTACTGTGAGAATAAGGGATGGTGGAGAATGGAGTCAAAGAATCTACAGAAGGGTTGTGGACAAGACCAGCTTGTGTTGCTGTTTGCAGGACAGGATGAGGAAGCTGACAACAAGTCCTCAGGTTGCCTCCCTGTGGCCTCTTCCTGGAGGGGAAGGGAATCCTGATGGAATGGGAACCCAAATAAACAATTCCTTCAGTGTCTGCCACAGCACGGTGAGGACCTGACCTGCTGCTCACCGGGGAAATAGAAGAAATGTGGGATGCAAGACATGAAACAGGGAAAGCTCTTCTAGGAATAGTAACGAGTATCTCAGAGCTGCCTCGTTTCCTGCAGCACCTCAGCTCTCTAGAGCAGAGGGCAAAACTGAGGCTGGCACTGCCAGTGTCCCCTCCAGTCACACACAGCCTTTGTGCAGTGAGAACTCGAGGCTGGCACAGGGAGGAAGAGTATGGTAAAGTACAGAAATGGGGCATCTCACAGGCTTGGAAGTTGGTTGGTCACCCTGCACTTGGGCTAATGCACAAATTCTAATTTGAGATAAACTTCTCCTATGATCCTAGAAAGCAAACCGTCCTATCCTGTGTCCAAAGCTGTGTCCAAAGCTGAGCAGGCAGCTGCTGCTTTATACAGTTCACAAAGACACTGGAAATACCCTCCCATGAAGCTCAGTCTGTCACACGAGCAGGGGCTATGCTGTTACTCTTGCTGCATTTCAAACACTTCAATCTACAGTTATTTAACTTCATGAATTAATATTCAGCCTTTCCAAGCTGCCAGTCACGAACATTACACTGTCCCTGACTGCTCAAGATAAACCCTTTGGATCAGGTAGCTTCAGTACTCAAAGGAGGTGTTACCACCATGGCAAAACTGATGCACATTTTTTAAGTGGAACTCCTGAAAATCAAAACAGGAGCTGGGAAGTCTGTGTGCAGCAAGGTCTGGCACCATCTGCTGTTCCTTATGGCAAAAATCCTGCCGAGTTTTAAGAGCTGTTTCTGCATTTGTGCTGCAAAAAGACTTGTCCTGCTCTGGGGACGAGGGGCACGTGGCAGTGACACTGAACGGGAGTGGGACTCAGCACCCAGTCTGGAGAACCACAGACACGTTCCAGAGGTCACTGCAGATTGATCCCTGCACATATCCAAGAGCAAAGACTGGCTTTGGAAAGCAGAGCTTTGGACATCCCAGAGCTGCACCAGGGACGTGCTTGGTCAGCCAGGCCATGCTTTGGGTGCGTTTCATAACACTCAGGGTCTCTTGCCAAACAAATGTTATTTGTTTTTGCCCACCTCAAAAGAAGAGGTCAATGCTCTGATGCAGTACCTCATCACATGGTGACATTTGTATTTGTCCTATAATTTTACCAAAAGCCTGACCTGATCTCAAGCTTTTTAAGGAATCCCATGAACATGAGGTTCAGGCTAAGGGACCAAGGTGAGCACTTTCCACATCTGCTACTGGAAAGAGCAACCAAGGAAAAAATGACTGGAGATAATGCAGAAATTAAGTTTCTAAATTGTGAACATTTCCAGTTTCTTGGGAATACATGAATCCACTTTTTTTTTTTTTTTTTTTTTTTTTTTTTTTTTTTGTTTTGTTTTGTTTTTAGCAATTTTCTAGTTCAACCCAAATGATCGGGTAAAAAGCTTGAAAATACAACATAAAATTGAGCTGTCATAAGAGTAATAAAAATTTTTGCTCTTAAAAACAAATTTATGATTTTTATGTTCACTTCATTAGTTTTTTGAAGGCACAACATATAAGATTTAAGTATTTGATGTTAGTTAACAGTACAGTGCCATTACTGTGAGACAGCAATATCTATCCTTGTATTTAAGGGCGAAAACTGACTTCTCCCTTTAAGTTAAACCACTCTAATCTCCCACACAATTCCCTTGAAGATTTATACTCACACAATGGAGACTCTCCACTGACTCAGGAAGTCTTGCAACTATACAGGTTTGCCATAATTTGAAAGGACAACATGTTTACAAGGAAAGGCAAAAAATATCAAGATTTGAATTTGCTGATCATTGTTAAAAGCTCAGAAATTAGACAGTCATATTTTACACTTACACTTTGTAAGTAAATGCTTGAAAAAGGACTTTGCTCCTAAAAATGGGATTATTTCTAGGTCTGATGGAAACATCAAAAAATTGTATTTCCACTTCCAGGTGATCCAAACAAGCCCATCTTCTCAGAGATCTTGGAAGAGGAATATTTGAGGATTATTGTCACAAAAGTTTACAGAATGAGCTTCTGCTCCACACACAGATTTTCACAGACATAGCTCTGCTGTGCTCCCTAGGCAGTAGCTCAGACATGGTGTTTGTTCTGTGTCTAAGAATGGCAGCAAACATTCTTCAGATCTATGTTTTACCAGCACTTTTTGCACCTAAATTACAGAATTTCCTTATTTTTTCCTCTCAGGCATCTCTGAGCTCAGCCCTACACCAGGACACCTCACTGGGCATCGTGTCCCATTCCTCATGGCTGCCTGTGGAAGCTGGGAAACACTGCAGCCACATCAATTCTTTGGACTGAAGTTGTAAAAAACAGCTTTTCAAGGTCAGAAAATATCAGAAGACTGAGTGATGATCCCTCTGTGAGAAGGCCTGATACTAGTGACTTTGCCAACACTGCTTGTTTTTGCTGACTTTGCCCTGATTTTTTCAGGCACTGCTCAATGCCTTTTTACTGACTATCTAGCTCTGTTCCGAGGGGCACAAGTCAGTTATGGTAACATTCAGAACACAAAAGGATGGAAGCTGAACACTCTGTGTCAGCTAAATATATATATATATATATATACTGACTCAATGCCTTTACTGACACACGTATATATACAGTTGGGTTTGCATAAATGAGCTTTAACCGTAAAAGTCAAGAGTGCACCCCTCATTGGGGTAAGTCCCTGATTGCCTCTCCTCAGTAATGAGACAGATCAACAAAACAAAAACATCCACAGACAAACCAGGGGCTGATTACATGGTTGTGCCAAAACTGGAGAGCCATACAAAGGGAGTAGCAGCAGTAACAGCAAATTATCTCAGCTGCTACATGAAAATAGAAAAAAAAGTGTTTGGCTTTCATGTTCTCTAGCATGGCTTTCACTTGCTTGAGTTGGTAATTTGCCCATTTTGCACGGGTTTTTGTCCTTGTGTACTCAAACTTCATTTTTCCCCATGGTCAAAACCCATCCTGTCCTCATTCTATGGTTCCCCAAATACAAATTTCACCATGTGAAATGGGGACCAAGGTGCAAACTGCAGCTTCGTGCAGCACAGCTCTGCCCTGCCCCTCCACCATGCGATGGGGAACCATGCAGAGACCTCTGAGCTGGCTGAGACTGGGCAGGGCAAGGGTAGAGCCAAGGCAGACATTATCCCAACATGCCACTAACCTCCTCAAAGAGAGTCTATTGTAGTGAAAAATCAGATTTCGGTGAATTAAAGTCAGTCTAACATGGGTGCTTAAAGGGAGGAGGAGGAGGCTGCTGAATTCCTGGTGAATTTCCAGTGAGACCAAAGTTTTCTCACATAAGAAACCAGGGTATAAACCTTTCCTCAGAGAGGGCCAGGTGGGTAAGCTGTTTTACACTCCCAGTAGAGACCAGTTGCTAAAAGCTGTAAAACCAGTAAGAAATTCACAACCCCATTCCACAAGCATTTAGTCTTCTTAAGTAAATTAAATAAATAAAATTCATAATAAATTAAAATAATAAAACAGCTAAATAAATGGCCAAAAAATGGGGAGGTAAAATCTCAGTGATCAAAATTATATCAAAACATGAAGCTGCTAAAGAAGGAGCAGCACTCACTGCTGGTCACAGCTGAGTCCTCCCCACGCTCTTCCCCTGGTGCAGAGCCTGACCTACTTGATGCATGTTCCTGCACTAAGGCCCCAGCACTAAGTATCTTACACCCCTCAAATCGCATTCCAGACTTATAATTGCAGAGCAGCTGTCAGCCTGAGCCCTGCCACAGCACCTCCCCATCTGTTCAGCCCATCTAGCATTACAGCAGGGGACAGCACGGAGCCTGAAACGTTATCGGATGTGGAGCCGGGACCGCTGCACTCGCCGCCCTCGGCTGCAGGGGATCACTTGCACTTTTCCACCCTCTTGGAGTGCTTCAGGCTTCACCAGAGTAGTGGGCAGAGGCTGATCAGAAGAGGGGAGAAGGGACGCTGCAAAAGGATCAAATTCTGCAATGTGACTCTGGCAGCTGAGTCAAAAAGACAGACATCCTTGGCTTCGCCGGGAGGAGATGTTTGACTTCTGGCAGGGCTGAGAATCATTTGAGAGCCCCTTAGAGGAAAACCTGATACCTTGCCTTTCCCCAAAGCCTCCCCCTCCACATCTCTCAGTATTAACTCATTCTGTAGTAGCTGATTTTACATAATCTTAAATCATCTGTCCTGAAATGTAAACCTGGAGGTACACATTTCCAAACTTGTGTGCCATTGCTTAGTGTGCTGATGGGGGAGTACCTGTCTCTGAATCAAACTACATAGCTCTTGTCCTATAGCCTTTTCCAACAGTCCCAGCAAAACTCCAGTTGAAAACTGATCACTTTTCATTCTCAAGAAAACTATGGAAATACAGAGGAAGGACTCAGATATTTGACTCTGGCTTTGCACTAATTCAGTTTCAGGGAAATATGCTGTATTTTGTACAGGAACTGCAAGTGCTTTGGCTTGCTGTGTTGCTAACACAGACCTTGATGTGTACACAATCCACATCTCCTGGCTTTCAGGAGTTTTAGATCCTCCCTAACCCCAAGTCCTAAGGCACTGCAAGTGGCCAGCAGGTGTTAAGATGCAAGGAACAAAGCATGGTGCCATTTCCCTCCCTCTGAAAGTGAAGAAACTCTTGCCCTCTCAGTGCCAGCCATGCTGAGTAAGGGTGCAGGCAGCTCTGTGCTGAGTTCCAGTGGACCTTGTGCTGACAGATGTCTGTGCTCAGGGCTGCTGGGGTCACTTCCCCTGTCCTGCCTTCCCAGCTGGGAAGCCTCCTTTAACCCTGCTGCTTAGGCCTCCAAGTGGTCCAAGATCCCCAGTTGCTCTTAGGCAAAGAAAAACGTTCCCTGATGATCTGCCCAAGGAATTTCTGCAGGCTGGGACCTATCCAGGAGAGACCCAAACCCATAACACAAGCAGCCTCTCACTGACTGGAGCTCCCCATCCCACTCAGCAGAGCCAGGTCCTGCTGTGGCACCAGTGCCCCCTGTGCTTGCCCTGGTCCCTGTGGGGTCACAGTTGCCCCAGCAGCTGTGCCCTGGTACTTGTGCCCTCTGTGTGCACATGTGTGTGTGTGTGCTGGTGGCTGTGAGTGCCAGGCTCCCACATGGCAGCAGACTGGAGGCAGAAGCCAGCGTCTCACAAACGCATTTCCTGGCAGAGCACGCATGGGGGAAGGGACAAGAGCTCTTTGTCAGCCCACACGGTTTCACCCAGTCCCAGCCTGGAGAAGCCAAACCCCTTAAAGGCACAAGACTGTGTGTGCTGCCGGCAGCAGCTCTGCCCTACGTGCCCTGGAGCAGCTGGCACGAAGGCAGCTGTGAGCTCAGCAGCTGGGCAGAAGGGATGGTGACGCACAGCGCTTTATCTGGAGATCTGCTTTATCATTTGCTGCTTTGACCTCTGAGCCTTTGGGTTCTGAGGGGCAGAACCTGGGCTCTGGGCATGCCCTCCCTGCACAGTCCTATCGATGCTGGCATAGTCACTGTGATGGTTCACACCAAGACTGTGCACCAGGTGCAAACAAGCCACGAGCTGACCAAGTGCACTATCCCTCAAATTCCTGCTATGGATCAGTTTGGAGCCACATGGCGAGAGATATCAGCCAGGATTTTCCATCTGGGGCAAAGCAAACCTTTTCTACAATTTCCCTGCAGCACTATGCCAAAGGTGCAGCTTGGTATGCTCATCATTCTGGTATGTGTTTCCTCCCTATTCACACATGGGCATATTCAAAGCTTTTGCAACCTATCCAGAAAAAAATAACCACCACAGTAAGAGGATATTGCCTCCTGAAACCCCTAAGTTAAGAAAGGCCAACACTTCCTGACTTCTGACTCAAGAGATCTCTAATCTCAGACTGCTGGAAGGCTGGAGGCCATACCAGCCAAAGGATCACTCTGTGCTTCATCTCATCTTCTGTCTTCACCAGCGGCTGCTCTGTATCCTAAAGACAGGATACACAGCAACAGGGTTTCTAGCCTGGCCCAGAAAGTCTCTTCTTATAACGAATAAAAGGATATATTTTACTGCCTGAACAGCTGCTGGATCCACACATGCCTCCCTAGTTCAAAGTGGCAATAAGGAGTGGAGCTGGAAGGGCAACATGTCCTTTACTCCAGATCTCCAGCCAAGTCCACAGGCACAGGTTCCGCTCACAGACAAGCAGGAATGCTCATGTGGACACTCAGGATTTCAAAGCATTTGGGCACTCACACAAGTAGCAACGTGTGTGAAATCTGCAGCATGAGATGGGGTTTGCTGGCACGTGGGAACTGATGTCCCCAGAACATGCTTAGTCTGATGTCCCCATGCTTAGCTCAAGGACTGGCACTTCCAACACAAAGGTTCTGAAAAAATTCCCTGATACCAGGTGCTGGAGAAGGAGAGAGGAAAGCACAATCTGCATTACAAATCACAAGCAGGACGGTCACATTTGGTGATATCCAGAGGACCACATCAGTCCACCATAAATAATTCAGCTCCTTTTCTGATAACTCCTCAGGGACCAGCCTTTGTTCTGAACATCTCAGTCTAACACAGATCCTATGCGTATTTTCTTATTGTGCATTCACTCCACTCCATAAAGGCACATGTAGTCCTCTCACATGAAAAATATTACTGGGGAGAAGGCAGTTTGGAATTCTCACGTATCAACAAGTCATGACACAGCCCAGTCTCCAACCGCCTGTACTTGGCTGGCTAACACACAAATAAGAAAAATCTTTCTGTCTTCTACAATGGGTTTTTAGCTCATCTTAACCATCTGTTTGATTTCTTTTTCCCATAGTAACAAGTCCTTTTTGGAAAATTCCAAGGGTGTCTATCTAACCACTCCTTATAAGGCATTACCACCTTAATATCAGAAATGGCATCTTTCCTATGGACTAGAATAGTAGTTTTCACTGATATAAAACACAATTTTTAACTGCTCCCTTGACAGAAAAGCTTAAACTGCAGTTTTATAATGAATTCTGGAAGCTGAAATTAGATCACTCGTTTAATAAACATCAAGAGGAACCAACCTATGCCAGAGCAAGATTTCACTATGTTTTATTTTTAATATAATAAATATATATTTTCTTTCTAACACCCAGAAAAGAAAGGCTAGAAAAAGAAGTCTGGAACTGACCTACTTTCATTGCCAAATCAGCCTGTTATTGAGCCAAAAGTATTCTATCAAACTTCTTATTGTTCTTAGCAAAGACATGCCATTTCTATGAATTCAGAATGATTTGGGAAAAGCAGCCTCTCATTTTGTGACCTGAAAAATTTTATACAAGTCTTTCAAACAGTTCCAGAGCACACAAACTTAGGAAACTGCCCCTGTGAGACAATTTCTATAATCTCCTTGATCTTTCCCACTTCTGAAAGTGATAGTGGTTACAGCTGCAGAATAGAAGCTTGCCAAATGTCAGGCTTTTATCTACGCCTCCTTAATATTTGATAGTTTTTCTAATCCCCAGCTTCTAAATTCATGTGATAAACCCAGAAATTCTGCTTTGGTAAAATAGCAAGAAAATATTTTACCTCTCCTTATCACAAAGTGCAGCTTTAAGTTATGAACTCTGGAGGGTAGAACACCAGACAACAAATAAAAATAAGTAAAAACTCTTTATTATTTTCAAAATGTAAATGCAAACCTCACAATAGTCTGGAGCCCCATGCGTGATGCCGTGAGTGCTGGGAGTTGAATGAATTAAGCTCATTCCCAAACATCTCATTGAGAAACAGGTTGGTTTTGCACAGTTTGAATTACTTTGTTTCTCAATTCAAGAGTTCACAGGCAGGAGCTGCTTTTCCGGCGAGGTGATGGGGTTTGGAGGAGCAGTTTTTGGGCAGGAGTGTCCTTCTTGCTGCTGCCTGAGAATGCACACGCTGTGCCCAAAGCCCTCCCTGTCACCTACCCCTTGCCTTTCATGCCAAGTTTGATCCTCAGCCTGGGATTATGTATTTCCATTTACTGATGTCAACTGCTAAGTGAGTCATGGGAGGATCTGAATAGCAACCACATGAGAGATCTTCTCAAGAAAGGAGGGAGCACTCAGGACAGTCCCCTCATGGCTGGGAGGAGGAGGAGGCTGCCCCCAGGCATCATGACACCCAGACAAAGATGGGGTGAAGGGAATGGAATGGGAGGGGATTGTTAGTGAAGGTTTCCATCTCCCCAGAAAACAGAGCCTCTGCAAAACCTGGCCTTGACTCTGACCTGAAAGAGAGGCACATCCACAACTCGATGTGATATCTCACAAAGATCAGAAGCTCTGAAAATTTGTAACAATTTTAAAAGAGCAGACATAATAATTTTTGCAAAGCCATCACAACCTGCAGTGTTTCTTGACTGTCTTGCATACAATTTCTCTTTTTTAGGGGAAAATTTTCACTTCCCCTCCCCATGTCTAAGAAGACAGCAAACATTTGATTGTTTCACTGCACAGATCCCCTTTCAGGATCCTCTTCCATCTTGATTAAATCCTAAATGTTTTGCTGGAACAAAGAATGTGCCTAGCAACCTTTGCCTGTCTCTTCAGAAGTTTGTTTTGCAGACAATCTCCTTTCACACTTGCACAGATAACAGAAAAAAGCTTAAATGTACCTGGACTTTACTGCAAGAGAAGCAGAAGGAAAGAAGAGTGTTGTCAGATGACGAATGTACAAATGCATGCAGCTTCAGGACACTGTCTTTACAAGAACTTTTTTTTTTTTAATTGCCATTTAAGTCAGCCTACACAGAGCACAGACCCTTTTAAAATCCCAGCAGGAACTTAAAAAAGAAAATTAAACTGTGTTTGTTGAGACCAGGTCCCAGCTTCACAGACTGCTGAAGCAAAGTTGTGCTCTTTGTAGGCTGTCAGATGCAGAAGACAACAAATCCAGATGTTTAGGATTTACCACAAGCATGGGTCAAAACAGTAGAAATCAGAACTGTTCCAATTTATTAGGATACCTACCAATTCTAACATAACATATTCAGACCAAGAGTGCAGCATAAAATGCATTTCTGATAGCCAGATCTTTTCTCAAGTGCTTTAGCAATGAGAAGAAAACACTCCTCTCCCCTCACAATTTAGGCTACAGATGGAATACAGAAATTTCTGCAGATCTGCTTCTGTGGGCAGCAGACACAGCTGGACATTTTGTTTCAGCTCACTATTCCTATTTCTGTGCCAGAGCATGTCTAAAGCACCATT